CTCTCCTTCTAAGTAGCCTGAATATATGAAATTCATATTTGTACAAGCAACTGATTTGTTTTGCATTAATAGAAGCCTAGAATTTAAAGGAAAATGGTTTTGGCTGAGGTACTTCCTGGTTATAAAGTGATGTCAAAGCCTGATTTTTCTCTTCTTTGTGTTAATCCTCAGATAAAAGGCCCATGGTGTGGAGGAGTAATGTCTTAAATCTGTGATAATTCAGGAGTTTTGCCTCGAGAGAAATTTCTGTCAAGTAGAAGCAGCAGAGAGCAGATATGAATTTGATCTGGGCAAGTGCCACAAAGTGCTAAAAGCTTTCCAAAGGATGAACAGATTCCAGGGTGGAGCTCAGCACTGCTGCAGATATGCAGTTCTGTTCCTAACATTTGTTGAATCAGATGTGGACAGGGAAAGGACAGAAATTGCCAAATTTGTTTGGAGGCTTATTTTTTTCTAATGATAAAAGTAGTACATGATCAACTGAAGAAATAAAAAATGAAACATAAAGAAAAAAATTAGCCATTGTTCCATCCGGAAAAAATACTATTATAAACATTTTGGTGCATTTCTACAAATCTTTCTGTATACATATACGCATACACACACATACATATAAATATATATCTAGATATATACTGGAATATACTGTAGATACTGTTTTATATTCTGTTTTATTCACTCAAGAGTGAATCATTAGCCATGTCTTTGAACGTTTTTTACAAATACTTTGAATGACTGCTGTATTAATCCATTTTTACACTGCCGATAAAGACATAAATGAGACTGGGCAATTTACAAAAGAAAGAGGTTTAATGTATTCAGAGTTCCACGTGGCTGGGAGGCCTCACAGTCATGGTGGAAGGTGAAAGGCACCTCTCACATAGTGGCAGACAAGAGAAGAGGGCTTGTGCATGGAAACTCCCATGTTTAAAATCATCAGATCTCATGAGACTTACTATCATGAGAACAGCATAGGAAGGACCCACCCTCATGATTCAATTACCTCCCACTATGTCCCTCCCACAACACATGGGAATTCAATAGGAGGTCTGGGTGGGGACACAGGCAAACCATATCATTTTGCCCCTGCCCCTCCCAAACCTCATGTCGTCTCATTTCAAAATCAATAGTGCTTTCCCCCAAAGCCTTAACTCATTTCAGCATTAACTCAAAAGTCCACAGTCCAATGTCTCATCTGAGACAAGGCAAGTTCCTTCCACCTATGACCCTGTAAAATCAAAAGCAAGTCAGTTACTTCCTAAATACCTGTACAATGGGGGTACAGGTATTGGGTAAATAAAGCCATTCCAACTGGGACAAATTGGTCAAAACAAAGGGGCTACAGACACCATGCAAGTCCAAAATCCAGCAGGGCAGTCAAATATTAAAGCTCCAAAATGATCTCCTTTGATTCTAGTCTCACATCCCGGTCACACTGATGCAAGAGGTGGGTTCCCATGGTTTTGGGCAGCTCTGCCCCTGTGGCTTTGCAGGGTACAGGCTTCCTTCTGGCTGCTTTCATGGACTGGCATTGAGTGTCTGCAGCTTTTCCAGGTGCACAGTGCAAGGTGACAGTGGATCTACCATTTGAGGTATGGAGGACGGTGGCCCTCTTCTCACAGCTCCACTAGGCTGCGTCCCAGCAGGGATTCTGTGTGGAGCTCCAACCCCACATTTCCCTTCTGCACTTCCCTAGCAGAGGTTGTTCATGAGGCCCCACACCTACAGCAAATTTCTGCCTGGGCATCCAGGTGTTTCCATACATCATCTGAAATCTAGGCAGAGGTTCCCAAACCTCAATTCTTGACTTCTGTGTAACTCACAGGCTCAACACCATGTAGAAGTTGCCAAGGCCTGAGGCTTGCATCCTCTGAAGCCATGGCCTGAGCTCTACATTGGCCCCTTTCAGCCACTGCTGGAATATCTGGAATGCAGGGCACCAGGTCCTTATGCTGCATACAGCACAGGGACTCTGGGCCCAATCCATGAAACCTCTTTTTCCTCCTACGCCTCTGGGCCTGTGATGGAAGGGGCTGCCATGAAGGTCTCTGACATGCCCTGCAGAAATTGTCCTCATTTTCTTGGTGATTAACATTTGGCTCCTCGTTACTTATGCAAATGTCTGCAACTGGCTTGAATTTCTCCCCAGAAAGTGGGATTTTCTTTTCTTTTTTTTTTTTGAGACGGAGTTTCGCTCTTGTTACCCAGGCTGGAGTACAATGGCGCGATCTCAGCTCACCGCAATCTCCACCTCCTGGGTTCAGGCAATTCTCCTGCCTCAGCCTCCTGAGTAGCTGGGATTACAGGCACGCGCCACCACGCCCAGCTAATTTTTTGTATTTTTAGTAGAGATGGGGTTTCACCATGTTGACCAGGATGGTCTTGATCCTTTGACCTCGTGATCCACCCGCCTCGGCCTCCCAAAGTGCTGGGATTACAGGCGTCAGCCACCGCGCCTGGCCGGGATTTTCTTTTCTATTGCACTGTCAGGCTGCAAATTTTCCAAACTTCTATGCTGTTTCCCTTTATAGCACCTAAGTCACCTCTTGAATGCTTTGCTGCTTAGAAATTTCTTCCACCAGATACTCTAAATCATCTCTCTTAAGTGTAACATTCCACAACTCTCGAGGGCAGGGGCAAAATGCCCTCTTTGCTAAAACGTAACAAGAGTCACCTTTGCTCCAAACAAGTTCCTCATCTCCATATGAGACCACCTCAGCCTAGATCTTATTCATATCACTATCAGCATTTTTGCAAAGCCATTCAACAAGTCTCAAGGAAGGTCCAAACTTTCCCATAGATTCCTGTTTTCTTCTGAGCCCTCTGAACTGTTCCAACCTCTGCCTGTTACCCAGTTCCAAAGTAACTTCCACATTTTTGGGTATCTTTTTAGTAATGCCCTACTCTACTGGTACCCAATTACATTAACTGTATTAATCTGTTTTCATGCTGCTGATAAAGATATAACAAAGATTGGGAAATTTATAAAAGAAAGAGGTTTAATGCAATCACAGTTCCACCTGTCTGGGGAGACCTCACAATCATGGTGGAAGGTGAAAGACATGTCTCACATAGTGACAGACAAGAGAAGAGGGCTTGTGCAGGAATACTCCTGTTTTTAAACCCATCAAATCTCATGAGATTTATTCACTATAATGAGAACAACATGGGAAAGACCTACTCTCACGATTCAATTACCTCCCAGCAGGTCCCTCCCACAACACATGGGAGTTCAAGATGAGGTTTGGGGGGGACACAGCCAAGCCATATCAACTGCATATTCTATCAGAAGTATATATCATAACTTAGTTAATCAATCTGCTTTTTAAAGAATATTTTTATGGCAGAAACCATTGTACAGAAGCCTTAGTTGTACATCAATTATTTTCTCATTACAGATTCCTAGATTTCATATGGTTTTAAAATTGCAATTGTTTGAACTTGTATTTCTTTGATTACTAGTGAGCTTGAACATATTTCATGTTCAGTAGTCACATTTCTTCTGTAAATACATCTTTTACTAGTTTTTCTATTGGAGGTTTTAGTGTTTTGTTAAACACGTTGTATAACCTTACTATATATTAAAGACATTGATACATTGTTACATTTGTGACATATATTATGGATTGCCTGGTATATATGTGTTGCTATATTAGGCATATTAACTCTTGGTCTTCGTTGAAGTATATTTTTGTCCCAGGTCCATATCTTCCTGTGAAGTGTTTGTCAATTCTTTAAGGGCCAGATCAAATCTTCTTTCCTCCTAAAAGCCTTCTAAGACCCCTGAGGTGAAATGAAGCTTTTTCTCTTCCACCCTACCACCATATTTGGTTTTATTACTCTATAGCACTTACTTCCATCTTCTTTAAAAGAAAACTTCCCTCTTGGAAAGCATCCATCCTGTTTTACTCACGTTGATATCCCTTGGAGTACGACTGTCCAATAAATGCTTCTGTTAAATGAAACAAAGTCAAAATAATTACAGCTTAGCTTTCAAACACAATAGATTCCTACTATCTTGCAATTGTAAGTATTGTAGACTTGACACAATCAGGTACAAACCGCATGAATAAACCAGTGATTTCCCCCCCCTCCTAACTTAAGATTTTTAGCACAGACTGTAGGGATTTATGACTCCCATAGCAGTTTGGCTGATGTTAGTCACTCAGATGAGCTTTTTCTAAACTGTAACCTTGAGCCCATATAATTAAATTTCACTGGAAGAAATATATCAGTTAAACCACTCTAAGTGACATGGTTATAAAAAAAGAGAATTAGAAACTAGACAGGCACACTTAATCAAAACTTCTAATGGGATTAGAAATATGAAAACAACAACAAAAATAACAAAATAAACAAGAATGCTGAGTTAAAATTGCCAGGTATGAGTCTGAATAAAATAATTTTGTTTTATTGGCACCCAGGGTGAGGATACCAAATAGAGTGATACACATAACGAATAAACAGGACAGTACGTGATTTAACAGCAGATTCTTCACCAGGAATACAGATAAAAAAGACTTTGCCTGCTCAGTTTTGAAACTCAAACCCTCCAGTTTCTTTGAGAAGAGTGGATATCTTGGGTTTTAGGAAAATTCATGTAATATATGTCTTGAAGATGAGTTACAAGTGGAGCATGAGGGTGTTAAGGAGACAATTAATAACAGGGTAACTTGTGGCCCAGGCCCTTTTGGCTTAATGAGGTTTCACCTGGTGTCTGGGTATGCTCACTCATCCAGGCTGTCAGAATCTGTCCCCAATGCTCTTGTGGGGGAAATCAGAGTAAGCAGATTCTCCAGAAATTGGAAGCCAGAAAGAAGGAAATTCTTCATGTAGGATGTGCTATATTTTTAAGCTTTGAAGTTTGAAGTGTACAATCTTTGCATAAAGGTCTGGAACAGGCACATAAATTGTTCTGCCAACAAGAAAAAACAGTTCTAATATTGAGTCATAGAGATGGAAGAGAAGTAAAGTTCTGTGCAGCATTCCGCCTCTGTAGACCTGTCTTTCCCTCTCAGGAAGAAATAGCTTTTTATGGGGGATAGAGCAGGGGACACAAGGGAGACCTTCCTTAATGCTCTTGGGATATCTCAATGTAAAGGGAACCTTTTTCCAGCAGATTTTCCAGTCCCACCAGGTATGGATGTTTAACAGAGATGGTAGCAAAGGAATAATGGGCCTGAATGAGTGCTCACTAAGAGACAATAATAATTATAACCAAAAGTTAACTACCACACTGTAGTAATAGTAGAAAATTTAAAGTTTAGAGCTGGAAAGCACTTTATGATGACCTTGTCAAACTCCAGATGAGGTAGTCTGACTGAATAGTTTATGTACTTACACCAGCTCTTTGGTGGCAGAGTCGAGATTAGATTAACAACTAAGCTTTTTATTTCCTGGGTCCTCCTGTTCTCCAGTAACTCCAAAATGTCTGAGAGTTTCCAAACTGTAAGACCAAACATTTCTTTTATAATTTTGCAGTTTATAATTTTTTACATAATGAAAATATTTATTGAGGTACATTAAAAATAAAGTTATTAAAAACAACAAAACGCGTAAGGATTAGGAAGAAAAGCAGTAAGTCTTTGATCTAGATTTCTTCTAGCCTACTCTACAAATACAACTAAGTTAACTCTTTGAGCTGTTTTTCTTGTATTATTTTTAGTCTTACTCTCAAAATAAAATATTGGCATGTTTATTACTTAATTTATCAATTTTAGATTTTACCCATGGACTTGATAGAGAAAATTTAGTTCATTACACTCCCCACCTCCTTTTATTCCATCCCCCACACAATTCATTACCGTTTATTCCACTGACTTCCTTTGCCTTTCCATGCAGAACACTGATGATGACTCATTCTCCTTAGATACCAGGGATCATCACAGATCTCCATAGAGCATTGTTGTAAGTCTTTTTCCTTTATTGTTTTTAAAAATGTGTTATTTTATATTCAAAAATAAGTGAATTATATAATTCTTAATGCAGTTTTAACTCATCTATATTGAATGCTTAAAATATATTGTTCCATTTTGCTTGTTTTTCGACCCTAAAATATAGTATCATATTGTAAGTAGTCTTCTTGGACTTTCTTTTTGTACTTAACACTTTGCTTCCAAGAATAATTAATGTTGAGTTCATTTTAAGATCTGTATGATATTCCATCATATGAATATACCAAAATTTATTCATCCATTCTTCTCTTGCCTCCATAGACATTTGTTGTTCCCTTTGTTGGTTTTTCTCCTGCTATGAATATTATAATGATTAATTAATATGAAGACAGTGTTATCATGTATGATCAACAATGATAATAAATATCCCATGCTCATGGATGGATATAATCAATATTGTGAAAGTGACCATACTGCCCAAAGATATCTACAGATTTAATGCAATTCCCATCAAAATACCATCATCATTCATCACAGAACTAATAACAATGACAAAAAGCCTAAAATTCATATGGAACAAAAAAGGAGTCTGCATAACCAAAGCAATGCCAAGCAAAAAGAACAAATCCAGAGGCATCACATTACCCAACTTCAAATTATACTACAACACTATAGTTACCAAAACAGCATGATATTGATATAAAAATAGGCGTTTAGACCAATAGAACAGAATAGAAAACGCAGAAATAAAGCCCTAATCAGCCAACTGATCCTTGACAAAGCATACAAAACCCAAAGTAGGGAAAGGACACCCCAATAAATGGTGCTGGAAAAACTGGCATAGCACATGTAGGATAATGAAATTTCTCTACATGAAGAAGAATCCTCATCTTTCACCTTAAAAAAAAATCAACTCAAGATGGATTAAAAACAATAAGACCTGAAAGCATAAAAATTATAGAAGACAGCAATGGAAAAACTCTTCTAGACATTGGCTTAGGCAATGAATTCATGACTAAAACCCCAATTAATTCATTACTAAGACTCTAAATGCAACAAAAACAAAAATAAAGAAATGAGATATAATTAAACTAAAAAGCTTCTGCACAGCAAAATAAATAATCAGCAGAGTAAACAGACAACCCAGAGAGTGGGAGAAAATATGCATCTGACAAAGGACTAATATCCATAATGTACAAGGAACTCAAATCAGCAAGAAAAGAACAAAAAATCCCATCAAAAAGTGGACATAAACAGATGATTCTGAAAAGAAGATAAACAGCCAACAAACATGAAAAAATGCTCAACACCACAAATTATGAGGAAAATGCACATTGAAGCCACAATGAGATACCACCTTACTCCTGCAAGAATGGCTATAATTAAACATTTAAAAAATAATAGATGCTGCCATGGATGTGGTGAAAAGGGAACACTTTTACACTGCTGGGATATAAACTAGTACAACCACTATAGAAAACAGTATGGAGATCCCTTAAAGAACTAAATATTTAATTTTCATTCAATTCAGCAGTCCCACTTCTGGGTATCCATACAAAGGAAAAGAAGTCATTATATGAAAAAGACAAACATGCACATGCATGTTTATAGCAGCACAATTTGCAATTGCAAAAGTATGGAATAAACCTTAATGCCCATCATCCAATGAGTGAATAAGGAAAATGTGGTGTATACATATGCTATGGAATACTCCTAAGCCATAAAGGGAATGAAATAATGGTCTTTGCAGCAACTAGGATGGAGCTGGAGGCCATTATTCTAAGTGAAGTAACTCAGGAATGAAAAACCAAATATTGTACATTCTTACTTATAAGTGGGATCTAAGCTATGAGGACAAAAAGGCATAAGAATGATGTAATGGGCTTTGGGGACTTGGGAGGGAATGATGGAAGGGAGGTGAGGGATAAAAGACTACACACTGGGTACAGTATACACTGCTTGGGTGATGGATGCACCAAAATCTCAGAAATTGGCTGAGCACCAAGCCTAAGGCCTGATTGGCAGTCCTTCAGAACTGGAACATCAATGAAATACTCCTTTCTACTAGATCTCTTATAGCAAATTAAAGGCACTGCTGGAAAGGAGTGGATGAAGATATTTGGGCATACATGTGTGAAGCTGAGAAATTTGATATCCCAAATGTTGAGGATCTTTTTTATCCAAAGATCCCTCTCCTGCTCTCAGGAAGTCAGCTTTCTTGTGAATCGAAGTCTTTCCATGAGTATACCTTGGGCAGCGGTCTCACAAGTGGATACTGATTCTTCTCAGGACCTACCTCCTCACTACCTTCTATTGCCCCCATATTAATTTATGGTTTATATCGTAACAGGATGTAAAATGTCAGGACTTAGTCTTTACTCTAAAAGAGTTACAAGATGACACCAAATATTGTCAGAAGTGTGAGGAGCATGTATGGGAGAGAATTCTAAAGGTCTAATTCAAAGAGGATGAACTCTAAAGCTTGATTGAATTAAATTTGCACCATGGGTAAATTTACACCATGGGTAAATTACTCACATGGAATTTTGAATTTAATGTGTTAGTTCAAGTGCTTGTGATGGCATTGATATTCTGCTATACTGGCTAATGAAAGCCTGGATTTAACAAAAGCCTACTATATTAATGAAGTATAAATGATAGACCTTCCCCATCATGCTGTGTATTACTGGCTCTCAAACTTTGGCATGCAACAGAATCTTGGGATAACTTTTTAAAATCCACTGGACTCTACCCTAGGGTTTCTTATTCAGTAGGTAAAACAGAAGTTCAATAAGTTGAATTTCTAACAAGTGCCCAGGTGATGCCAACATTGCTGGTCCTAGAATTACACTTTGAAAACTAGAGCTATGGAGGAAAGGCTTCTGAAGGCTAAGGGAGAAGGAATTATTGAAATGCTTCTAGTATATGTAATATTCTCAGCTATCCCCTAAACATATCCTTCCATGGGGCCTGGAGGATTTTTTTTTCTGTAAGAAAAACACTTAAGCAGAATGTTTTATTGACTTTAGATCAGCTGGCAATAATTATGTGCATTCATGTCTTATTTTACCTTACTGGAAAAAAGATACATATTATATTAGAGACTGTCATGTGTTGTTGCTTTGGGCTAAGAGAATGTTGAGCTCTTTCCTGTAATATGTGCTTTACTATTACAGTATATTAACAAAAGGGGTATGTCCCAAATTTCTACTTATTGCCATTGACTTCTGGGCCTGGAGGATTTTTTTTTCTTTTGTCACTACGGCATTAAGAAATGCATTGAGCAGGGTGTATTGTCATCCTTCATAAGCTCTCTGGTGGTTGTTCTTAGTAAGCCACAAATGATGGTAGAAGATGCTGTACTGGAAATGGGTTCCCTGATATCAGTGACAAAAATGGAATCCCAGAGGGGTGGAAGCTGGGTGATGGAATTTAAGCATTAGGGACAAGATGGAAACAAATACCACAATAAGCTATAAGTACAGAATAGTGATTACAGTATTTTTACCTACGAAGATCTACAGTGATGACTAATGGATCTTGGATTTTCTAGAAATAAAATAAATGGACCAACTCTAAGACACTGCTTGAAAAATATAGGTTAAAAAGTTGCAGGCTTGGTGGCAGAGACCTGACTTCAGTTATCGTGTTACAAATGCGTGATCATTCCCTGTATCCAGGTTTAAGACAGTGTATAGATCTTTCACCTTTAAAGTTGTTGAAGCTGGGTTCTAAAGATCCTGCACTGTGGCACAATTATATGTTGATACTGTGAAGCTTCCTCAAAGCTTTCCCTAAGGGAACTTGTGCATTTAAAACTGTGACTGTACAATGAGGAAGTAAATATTCAGAGCTGCTGGGGGTGGTTCTTAATTCCTAGAGACTCCAGTGTCAGAGTGTCCCACCAATAAGAGGAGATGTTTTTAAAGACCATATGGTAGAAAAAATCTTGGATTTAGCGTATCTCATTTCAAAAGTGTACAGGTCTGTGGATCCATTCTGTGTTTATTTTCCCAATCGTATTAAGTGTAGTAAGAACAGATATAGTAATTCCCTTTATCTGTAGGAGGTATGTACCAGGAACCCCAATGGATGCTTGAAACTGTAGATAGTACTGAACCATATATATACCAGGGTTTTTCTTGTGATAATGTTTAGTTTATAAATTAGGCACAGTAAGAGGTTAACAACAGTAACTAATAATAATTATAACAATACACCAGCGTCACTCCTCTTGACTATTTAGGGCCATTATTATTAATGGCCATAAAGTAAAATTTAGGGCCATTAGTATTAATGGCCCCTAAGTAAAATGCAATACCACCAGAGACTGTCTAATAACCAATATAGTTTCTAATTGACTACTGGGCAGATAATATAGATAGTATGGATCGACTGGACAAAGAAATTATTCACATCCTGGGTGGAATGGAGCAGATGGCACAAGATTTTATCACACTACTCAGAACATCTTGCAATTTAAGACTCATGAATTGTTTATTTCTGGAATTCTACATTTAATATTTTCAAACCACAGTTGACTGCAGGTAACAGAAACCACAGAAAGCAAAACTGCATAGAAGTGGGGGGTGGATGTGTACACTCAGAAAATGGTAGTATCTTCACATTCATTCTCTGACTCATCAAATGATGTTTAATATGGCAGGAGAGACCCAGAGCAAGCTTCTGAAAGCACTCTGTGTAAAAAGTCTGGCCATCCTGATGTCACCATGCTGAATAGACTATGGAGAGAGACTACATAGAAAAAGATGCCTACGGACTCCCAGTGGATCCGTTCCTTGTCTGTCAGTTATTTCTAATGTTTTTCATTTAACAGTACATTTTTATGTACTTATCACCATTGCATGGTAATTCATTATATGCATTCACTACATTTAACACATCCATTGGCCAAATGATGGTAATCTAGGTGGCCTTCAACTCCCTGCTACCACAATGATCAGCATCGTCATATATGCCTTCCATGAACCTATGAAAATTTCTATAAAGGATCTATAGATGGAGAAAAACTCAAATTTCCATTTTTTATTTATAAGTAATTATCCTAGAGGGCAATGCTTTTCTGTCAGAAAGTCAATAAAGAGTCTCGATGCTTTCATACATCCGTGTGTGTGTGTATATTTATATCTCACACATACACACACATAAACATACTAGTGAAGTTACAAAATAAGGTCAGAAAATCAGAGCTGATGATTTAATTATCACAATGATGCTATGTACAATACAGTTTTAGGAGAGTGAACTTAATTTACTACAGCTACAGGAATACATTTAAACAAGTAGATTTTTAGTGATTATGGTAGCAAATCCAATTTCCTAAAAAAATATGCTTCTCATCTTTTTTCTTAGGAACAGACCCTGGGCCATGTGCCCAGTTGAACAAACTACATTTGCAGCCTATCTTGTTGACAGAGGTGACCAATGAGGTATGTTTTCCTTCCAATTGCTTTAAAATCACCAATTTTCTATACCTTCTCCAGTCTTGATACTCTTTATGTTTTCCAGTATAAGGCAAAAAAATAGTTTTAATTGATTTTTTCAAATATATTGAAGTAGAATCTCTTTTTGCATGTTGATTGCCTTTTTATATCAACTTCAGTGAAATGCATAATTATATTGTTTATTTTACTTGTATGTATACGCACACATATATATGTATAGATATGCCTACTTTTTCAATTTGTAGGTTTATGTATATTAATTGGGCAGGTTATATTTTTCAAAAATGGCATGGCAATGTATTTCTGGACCCACATACTCATCCAGACACTTGCCACTCCCCTTGAACCTATTTCCCCTTCTCTTGTCTTGAAGACTGCCAAGAAGCATACAATGCAGGGGAATGATGCTGCATGATTTCAGGTTAGCTCATAAAGACAATAAGCTCATAGAAGGTGATTCTGGCCATCTAAATCTCAGGACATGTGCCTTTGGAGCTCTCTAACCTACCACATGGAAAGTCCAGTTCCCTTGAAGTTACAAGACTAGAGAGACTGAGTACAGGAAAAACAGAGAGAGAGAGCGGAGGAGATAAAAGAGATATGGAGAGAAACAGAGAGCTTTGCCTAGTGAGTCTCAGATGTTCCAGCTCTCAGTTGGTTCAGCCTTCCTTGTCCATCCACCAGATAGGAGAGTGAGCCAAGCATGTGAGAGGCCCTGCAAAGAGAACACCTAGCTGAGTTCAGTCTATGTTCACAGCTGTGAGAGAAAGTAAAATTAAAATGTTGTTGTTTTAAGCCAGTACATTTTCGGGTGGGTTGTTACATAGCAAAGATAACTGGAACATTACTAATATCCAGATGTTTCCTTCATTTGTATTCAAGTATTTTCTGTCAGATTCAAGTACTTTTTTTTTCGTAACTTGACTTTTATCACACATAGTGTGATGCTATGGTTTGAAGGTGTCCCCCAAAAGTTCATGTGTTGGAAACTTAATCCTGATAGCAACAGTGTTGGGAGGTGGACACTAATAAGAGGTGATTAGGTCATGAAGTCTCTACTCCTGGGAATAGATTAATGCCATTACTGTGGAAGTGGTTTAGTTACTTTGAAAATGAGCTCCTGATAAAGAGAATGAGTTTGGCCCAATTTCCCCTTTATGTCTCAAATGCTCACTTGTGCTTCTGCCTTTTTGCCATATTATGATGGAGCATGAAGGTCCTTGCCAGATACAAGCACTATATTCTTGGATTTCCAGCTTCTAGTACTGTGAAAAATAACTGTCTTTTCTTTATAAATTTCCCTGTCTGTGGTATTCTGTTATAGCAACAGAAAATGAACTAAGACACTTACCATATAAAGGATATTTTAATATGCTTTATTTTTAGAAGTCTTATATTTACAGAAAAATTGAGATGATAAAAGAGAGTTTCCATATATCCCACACCTATTTCCCCTTTTTTAGCACTTTACATTAGTATAGTACCTTTGCCACATTCAATAACAAATACTGATTTCATATTATCTTAAGTTTATACTTTATTCAGCTCTCCTTAGTTTTTTATCTAACATCCTTTTTCTATTTGAAAGCCCTGTACAAATTACCTCATTACATGTAATCATCATGTCTCCTAGCATCTTCTTGAATGTGAGAGTTTCTCAGACTTTCCTTGCTTTTGATGACCTTGACAGTTTTGAATAGTATTAGTCAGGTTTTTCCAAATTCTATTGGAATTTGTCTTTGTTTACCACAGAGATAAAGTGCCATTCTTGTCACATACTATAGGGGGTACATATTATCAACATGACTTATCACTGTTGATTTTAACCTAGATCACCTGGCGGAAGTGTTGTTGGTCAGGTGTCTCTGACGTAAAGTTACTCTTTTTCTGTCCTATTCCATCCTGTATGCTTTAGAAGAAAGTGCTATGTGCAGCCCACACATAAGGAGTGGGGAGTGGTGCTCCCCATGGATTTTTATATTAGGTAAACAGCTATCAATCTTTTATTTTAGAATTTCATATTTTCTTTCTTAAGGAAGCCTCTCCCACCAAAGCTATATGGACATTTTCCTAAAATTTCTTATAATATGTCTATAGTGTTTTTTAACTTTAAGATTTTTAGTCCATTTGGAATTTATTTTTACATTGTTATTCATTTCATGGTTAGACTTTTTAAGAGCTTACTTTCTGAGTGGAATATCTATATATTCCAAATAGAGAATTCTCTCATTTATGCGTTTTATTAAGTGAAAAGCCTGATATTAAATGATTTTTGTACGGAATGTTCTAAAAGTCAAAAGTCTAGCAGGGGCTGACAAGAGAAAAGAGGCTGATGATTTACCTATGAATGCTTTCCAGGAGTTTTAAAAATTATACCCACTGGCTTCCAGTAATCTGAACAATGGTGCAAGCATCATAATTTCTGTGCATTTTGAGTGCTCAGGGTATATCATCAGAACATATTTTTGTTTACAAATGTATGAACATATATGTAGGTGAACTTAAATAGGATTCTTGATCTTACCAAAATACACATATTCATGAAACAGTTAATTTTTGAATAGATTTTTTTCACTTTAAAATTATGCATTTGCCTGCCTGCATCTATCTCTTTGTCTCTGTCACTGTCTTTATTACACACACACACACACACACACACACACACACACACACAGAGTATCTAATAAAATTATAACCAGTATTAGTGTAAACAATACTAAGTCTGCAGTTCTGAAATTGAGTCTTATTTTGTCAGAATGCAGATATATATATATATATATATATGATTATTATTAAAGTATAAATCTGAAAATGGAGAGTAATATAATAATGGTAAAGTTTTGTGAAAAATATGATCACATAATCTGTTTTATTGTAGCAATTTTCTTACTTTGAAACTTTAGTGAATTTTTTTCCTCATCAATTGTTTTCAGCTTTCATTTTATAAACACTAAAATTCTTGAAATTTTTATATTTACCTGACAAATTTGAGTATATTCTCAACTGAAGAAGAGATATTAGAATCAAAAGTTAGATGTTCAAGAAAGAATTGGCAAAGGATTATGAGTCTGCTGTATTCTTGAGGAGTAGAAAGACAAAATTACAAAGGTAAATTTATTTTAGGGAAGGTGAAAATTAAATAAGGTAGAATTTCTCTCTTCCATTTAAAATATTTATTCTTTTTTTCTCAACCTCTTTTTATTTCTCATATTTTTAGTTTTGGGGTTGAAACAAACAGAAAACTCATGTAAGTGATAATGTGTTAATATCTATGACATTTTCTACTGGACTTTGTACTAATTGATGCTTTGCTTATAAGCTATGTATATATGACACCAGCTGAAGAGTGCAGTTCCCTGTGGGAACATGGATTCCCTAGGTAGTTGACAATAGTATAATTTTAGTAAATAAATTACCAATTGTTAGTTAAGGAGCCATGGTCTAGTCCTAGATGCTTTTGAGAATATTCATAGAGTTAATGGCTGTCTGTCTTAGTTTTGTGTTGCTATAACAGAATACATGAGACTAGGTAGTTTGTAAACAAAAGAGGTTTATTTAGCTCACAGTTCCGTGGGCTGGGAAGTTCAAGGGGCATGGTGCCAGCATCTACTAAGCTTCTGGTGAGGGCTTCTGTGCTGCCTCATGACACAGCAGAAGTTAAAAAGGAAGCAGACACATGCGAAGAGGCAAAACCTGAGGTGTGCCCTGGCTTTATAACAACCTACTTTCAACATACTCATTTATTCCTGAGAGAACAAATCCAGTCTTAACAGAGAGAGAACTTGCTACCTGGAGATTGGCATCAAACCATTTATAAAATATCTGCTCCCATGACTCAAATACCTCCCACTAGGTCCCACCTCCCTACATTGGGGGGTCAAACTTCAATATGAGTTTTCATGGGGACAAACCATATCCAAGGCACAGAACTATCTTAACAAGAGATCATTCTTCAGGACTTATTATCTGTTATTTTATAATTTTCTTAAACATTCAGGAACAAATGCTATGGTAGTATCTTTAGAAATAAAAACAGTACATGTACTCCATAGGCCACTTGACAACACTGCTTGTTTTATTATAAATTACTAATATTTAAAATGTAGATATCTTGTATACATAAGTTAACTATTACCCATGTTTTAAGAGAAAGAATGAGGGATGACTGTTGTTTGTGTGAGGTTTTCCCAAGTTCCACTACTTATCCCTCTCACCTCTGGGGTTCCCTTGCTCATAGAGTGGTATGTACAGTGACTAAACCAAACAGAAAATGATGACTAGACTCATTTATTAATAACTGGGAGCATGTATTATGCTTCAGGTCAAGACTGCAGTAAAAACAATTGGCTAAGCTAGAGAGGAATCTGCTAAGTATATCCAGGCTGCTGGGCTTCCTAACTTACCCAGTAGAGGACAGAGACATGAGCAGAGGAGAATGTCCAGGTTTACACAGAAGCTGATAGTGTACCCACTGCCCACAGGAACAGGACCCTACAAGAAATAATTGGTTTGACTTCTTCCTTTAAAGTACAAGGACGTTGTGCATTAGATAATTGTGGCTCATTGAGGTTGATCCATTCCACAAGTATTTACTGAGAATATTTTTAGCCGGAAACACTTGACCGGCTAAAAGAGTAAGACACTTGACCACCTTTCTAAGATTTCATAAGCCAGAAGCATCTTTCTCAAACTATGTATTCCAAAAAACAGGTGCTGTGGTCAGGAAAAATTGAGAAATGTTGGGATATCAACATGAAACAGGTTGCCTTTGACAGTATTTCTTATAGAATTTAATGTGTGAATGATACTGTAATTCTCTAAGGGCAACAGAATATATCATTTCCCAAACTGAGAATGAGAATAAGATTCTACTGGAACTCACTTTAAGAAACAGTGCCCTCATCTACTCCTCCTCCCCTTTCTCCAGCCACAGGCGGCTCTTTGTTGTTCTCTAATTATTCCAACTTGCAGTCCAGAGGCTTTGT